TTGGTGTTCTTGTGGGTCCCCTAACAGTGGGAACAGGCAAATGCTGTCTCTGACTCTTTTGCCTGCTTTGGGGACCCTTTCCCTCCTGCTGGGTTGTGTCATCCAGCCTTAATATGAAGGATGTGCCTAGTCTTCTGGCAACTTGAAATGCCATGTTTGGTTGATATTCCTGGGAGGTCTGTCCTTTTAGGAAGGGAAATGGAGGAGTGGATTTAGGGGAAAAGAGAGGCTGGGGAGTGTAATCAGTGCTTTTTCTTTTAGGCCACCAATCAGCTACCAAATCATAACATGGAGATTTATTAGTAGTTCTGAATGCTCAGCCTAGCTTAGCCTTTTCTGGTTAGCTCTTTTAATTTAAATTAACCTGTTTTTCTTTATCTACCTTTTGCCTCAGGGCTTCTTACTTTTCTTTCCTTCTTACTTTCACTGCATCTCCCTTCTGGCTGGCTAACAGCTGCCTAGCTTCTGGCCTCAGGCATCTTCCTCATTCTCCACCTCCTGTGGGATTCCCCTCTGTATGCTATGAATATGTTTTATTACCACTGGTTATTAAAGAAGCTGCTTAATGGCTTAATTCCAAACAGATACAGAGAAAAAGTAGGCAGCGTCAGGGAGGAGCCTTGTAGCTGCCAAAGGAGAAAGACACCAACCAGAACCTTACTGGTAGGCTATAGCCTCATGATGATTCACAGATTAAAAGAAATAGGTTGATTTAAAATGTATGAGTTAGCTAGGAATATGCTTAAGCTATTGGCCAAACAGTGTTGTAATTAATATAGTTTCTGTGTTATTATTTGGGTCTGGGTGGCCGAGAATGAATGAGCAGTCTGTGCCTACATCCTCCTATTTATTCTTTCTGCCTACCAGCCCCACCTATCCTTTCTCTGCCTAGTTATTGGCTGTTCACCTCTGTATTAGACCAATCAGGTGCCTTAGGCAGGCAAGGTGAAACAAATGCAACACATCTTTACATAATTAAACAAATGCAGCATAAACAAAAGTAACACACTTTTACACAGTTAAAGTATTATTTTGCAGCATAAACAAATCTTTGCCCAGTTAAAATAATATTTCACAACAGGGGGAAGGACTGGGAGGAGAGGAAGGAGGGGAAACAACTGTAGTCAGGATGTAACATATGAGAATAAACAATAACAAATAAAAAACCTTTATTAAAAATTAAAAAAATAAAGATACAGACTTAATGTGCTCCATAGAAACCAAAGCTTACTTTTGATGTCATATATAGTGGTACTAGTAAAAATAAAACATGAGCAATGGATACAAGCCACATATGTTACTTTTAAACTTAAGATAGCCACATTTTAAAAATAAACAATTTTTTTATTATATTTATAGTTGGGGAGTGGGTACATGTTACCACACAAATGTAAAAGTCAGAGGACAAACTTTCAGGAGACAATTCTCCTTCTACCAAGTGAGTCCCAGAGTTTATCAAACTGAGCACATCAGGCTTGGTGACAAGTATCTTTTCCTGCTAAGTCATCTGACTATCACAGAAATAGATATAATTGAGATATGTCACATTTTTTCTGTCCTTATAAACCATTATGTTTTATAGTTAAAATTTCAACCGAACCACATTTCAAGTATATTAGATAGAATTATTATGCAGGATAAATCTTTTTTCAATTTTATTCAATTAAAGAACATTTGGCTGTTAGGTATAGTACAGGGAAAGTTAACAGAGGGAAGCTTAATTGTGTTTACAGGCAAAAGGAAAAGAGAAAGGACACATACTCTCATAATAACTGACCGGGACTATAAAGAATTATGAAGAAAAGCAGTATCAAAACCACAAGGGAACTGGTAAACTTGGAAAAAGAGGGCTTCACTTTCTCTGACAGCAGAAAGAAAGGAAGAATTAAGCACAGATACAAGCAAGCGTGGAGAAACACTAGATAATAAATAGGGAGTTTTGGCTAAGAGCTTGCCAATGTTCTCAGTGAAGTCGAAGACAATAACCAGTACAAATCTGAAGGGGCCTTTACGAAAAATTTAAGAACTCCACCCTACTCCAGCTCACAATTCTCCTTCCTCCACCTCCAGATGCTAGGATTACAGCCTCCATCACCAGGTAAAGAAACACCTGCCTGCAGGTTGTGCTTGTGTGTAGTCACAGTCATTTTCTGTATTCTTCTGGGTCAGTGAGACTTAAGTTTTGTCATTATATTGCGAAACACAGAAATAATATTATTTCCTCTTCTATTCATAAAATACACTCCACACTAAGCCTACACTCAACATAGGGTGCTGAGAATGCCATGAGTAGAAGCCTCATCATGGCTTCCACATCCATTGCCAGGTTTAGCAGCTCTGTGGAAACATGGCGTCATGTTGTCCTATAAAGAACCCTTATGCTATCTATTTCCTGACAAGGACTTTTGTTTAAAAGTAGAAATCAGCATTGTATGCATAAATATGCTATTGAAAACATTCTTCTCAGCCAGGCAGTGGTGGTGCACACCTTTAATCCCAGCACTTGGGAGGCAGAGGCAGGAGGATCTTTGTGAGTTCAAGGCCAGCCTGGTCTATAGAGTGTGTTTCAGGACAGTCAGGGCTACACAGAGAAACCCTGTCTTGAAAAACAAAAAAAAAAAAAAAGAAAAGAGAAAAAGAAAACATTCTCTGACATAAATTTTAAATTTTAATGACTGCATGTGGTCAACAGCTACCACTGGCATGCGTAAAGTGGTTTGACTGCCAGTACTGGCAAGATAATAGTTACTAACAATGATAATAATAATATACCAGACACCTAGAGGTCCTATGTTATTATAACTGAGATGCTGTTAATAATATAATAGTTATTGAAAAATGTTATTGAAAAAGGATACACTATGAACACAACATATACCAGAAATATGTAATAACACAATAACTTTTAGCATAAATAATTTGAAAATTGGTGTAAAATAGGAATATGAAACTCACTATTTTCATTAAGGGAAAATACCAGATTTTGTCATGATTTTTCATCATGTCAGGCAGCAAAAATATTTTATAGAGGTAAGAAATCAAGCATTTTTCAATTGCAAATAAATAAGTAGAACATAGAATTGTCTCTGTAATAAAATGACAGAAAGGTAAGTGAGATGTCTCAGGAGGCAAATGAGAGTGCCACCAAGCCTGAGGACCTGAGTTGTACTCCTGGGACCCACAGGTTAGGAAAGAAATGACTCCCACAAGTTGTCCTGACTTACTTATTTACACACACACAGGCACACACATGCACACACACACAATAAGCAGTAATAAGTAATTTAAAAACAAAACTATCCTTTTTGGTTAAAGTATTAGTTGAAGTCAAGATTCATATAGTGTTCTGTAAATGCAAAACAATCTGTTCTTCTGATTTATCGATTTCCTCAAATTTTTCCATTTATAAAGTTTACAATTAACCTATTGCTTGTGACTCAACCCAGTGAGCACTTATTAGAATAATCTAGACTTTTTGAACTGAATTATGGGTGTAGCAACTAGAATGGCCATTTATTACTGAGTCGGTGTAAAATATTTTCACTACTCTGTACACACTGTCCTTAATTTGTCATTTAAGTAATTACACAAACTTAGCCAGCAATGCAGAGTCCTGATTTGGCACAGGTCTTGAAGACCTGACTGTCTTCAAAGAAAAACCAGAGACAGGCAGCTAAACATCAGAGATAGCGTTTTTTTTTGTTTTAATGCAGGGCAACTTGTTCAACTTGTTTTGTTATTCAGTCCAGTAAGACAGTTGATTTGTAAATGATCACAGAGCTTCTGGTTCTTCCTTCAGCTGTGAACATTTAAAGGCATATTCCCCAACATTACCAGATTTCTGTCGAGCTAACACAAGTACCTCACCCTGAGACACACTGTCTTATCATACTGGGAAATACTTGAAGAGGCCCACTTAAAAATGATCTTCCTGCCACACAAAACATCAGACAAACTGTGTTAAGCCAGGCGTTCTTCACACGAAGTCTGGGAAATCAAAAGGCACATGGATTTGGAATAATTAACTTCCGTACTGTACTTCCGGTTTACCGAAAGGAAATCAAGGCAGCCAACAGAGTGGATCAAATGACATCATTAGTTTGGATTCCCAATAAAGCTGGAATACTTCAATTTGCAACAGTTGCTAAAAATAAAAGCCCACCATTTGTAGGAGGGAGTGGCAGGCAGTTCTAGGGTTATTTCTGAGACTGCTTTATTTAAGAAGGATTGCCCACTGTAAAATAAACAAGAGACTGACTGAAATACATACTTGTTAGTTTTTACTTGAAAAGCTGTTCTAGCGCAGGGGAAAAGAAGTGTGAATATTTTGGTCTCAAAGCAGTAAGTTTCTGCCTCGCTAAGATGTATCAGTGCCTTGAAATCTGCAGTTGATGTGGCATTGAAATTTTAAAAGTATATAGGTTAGCGTTCCTCGCACTGAACTGACTGATGTCTAGTCTGTCACCATGGCCTACGCGTTGTATTTCCTGGGCTGCAGGTGCCAGGAGGCATGAGAGGTTTTCATCCGTGAATCATTTCTGGGAAAGGTGACCATTTTTAGACACTTAAGTCACCCTGGGGTTTTCCTTTCTTGCTCCAGGTAACCCAGTAACGTTCAAGAGTTAACTGTCCAATGGTTCCAGCCCCGTGCATTCTAACCGCCTTGAGGAGGGGTGACAGAGTCACAGAGAAGTTGCAGGGGTGTGCGGTGAGGACCTTCCGGCGCTCCTCCCTCTTAGGCCCAGGGCTGGCTTCCGCCAGGAGGCCGAGAGGACTCAGACCTCCTCGGAATCTGCAAGAGCCTAGTTCTGGGTCCCGGAGGGCCGCCTGACCCGTGCCCCGCGCCGCTGCCTCAGTCTCCCCGGGACCCGCGCCGCTCGCGATCCGCAGCGGCCGCAGGCAGCAGCGCATCCCCGAGCGGCGGGGAGCCCGGGCCGAGGGAGAGACGCGCGCCCCCGCCGCGGCCTAGCCCGAGCCGCCCGGCCCCAGCCCTCACTCACCAGCTGCTGCCGGACCCAGCGCCACATGCCCCCGCCGTCGCCGACGCCGTCGTGGCCCGCCGGACGCGGGGCCACAGCGGCAGCAGGTGGAGGAGGTCGCCGAGTCTGACCGGAGCAGGCGAGCCCCTCCGGCTGAAGTTCCGCTCGCAGGCGTCTCACTACCCGAGTCGGGTCCCCATCGCGTCACCCCGGCCCGGGGGTCCTACAGGCGCGGCCTGGCTGCCAACCGCGCTCCGCGCAGCTGAGCTTCCCGCTGCGCCGCGGCCACCTTCATCTCTGACCGTTGTCACCCGAAGCACCGCCGCCCCCACAGCGCCGCCCCGCCCTCGCCGCCATGGCCCCGCCCCAAACCCTGCGCCCCGCCCTCGCGGGCCATAGCCCCGCCCCCAAGCCCGCGCCCCACCCTTTTTCGCCGTGGCCCCGCCCCGAAGCCTTGCGTCCCAGCCTCACCTGCCGTGGGCCCTCCCCCTACGCTCCAACTTCGCGGTCCTCCTTTCACCGTTTCCGGGAGGGTTTGCATTTCTCCTTTTGGGTACCTGGCGGGTCAGCCGGCGGGCGCCACTCACCCGGGAGTTGAGCAGGCAGTTCTCCCGCTCTGCCCTGTTGCAGATCTGTGTCCCCCAACACGCATCCGCACCAGAGAACGGGACCAGAAGGTTCGTTTCCAGAAACCATGAAATTGTCAAAGGCTTTCTTTTGGGAGATAAATATGATCAAAATAAATTGTATAAAATTATCAAAGAATTGGTGGAAATATTATTTTAAGAAAAATGTCAAAGGCATGTAATTGCTTCACACATAACTCAGCGGGTGACCGCAGCTGGTTTTTCATGCGGGGGGTGGGGTGGGGTGTGAAGGTTGAGATTTCTCTTTGAGAATCCAGCCTGCGCCTTGGTTTCTGGGGGTGTTCTTGAGGTCCTGTCCTGCTGAGCTAAACTGCAAAGGTTACTGCAAAAGCTTTCTGTGGAAAGCTAATTCCCCCTAATCGCCACACATGCAATGAAAACTACCCTGGAAGTGACCTCGCTAACAAGGCTGTGGGTAATTGTAAGAAGGAACAGACAAGCAACTAGAATGAGTTTATGCTGTTCAAACACAGCTACCTGGACGTCTTCTGTCCATGTGTCTACACGACGTGCTTTCTTTTTTCCCAAGTCAAAATACTTCAGCATCAGACGTTTGTAAACTGAAAAATAACACTGAATAAAAACCTTAATCTAAGCTACATGATTAGACAAATCAATTGGTTTCAGCAGGAGTTCCTTATATAACCCGGCTCTGACCTTTCTTTTCAGTATCTATGGCCTATAATATTATTCAACTTCAAAAGAGGAAAAGTAACCTTATTTTTGTTCCAATGACTGAGCCTTACTTTATCAAAGCAGCATGAAGTACGGGTGTGTTTATTAAAGAGAACAGGTGATAGTTCTGTTCCTAAGAGTGTGCCAGAACCTACTCATCAAAGTCTACCGAATGTTCTGATTTATCCATCAGTTCTTTGAAGTACATGTTATCACCGTCGTGTGAATGGAGAAATGGAAACTCAGGTTAAATAATTTGGCAAAGTTGAGATTCAGATTATGGATCGCCAGGCAATATTGAACATGTGTTTTTAAACTGTATCCCCAACAAGCTTATTTTTCATATTTCATTTCCAAGAGATTTGGTTATAAATTAGGCCTGGAAATTCTTATGTATATGCCACCAAAATTGGCCCAGACAACCTGTGAAGCAGCTATCTAGAGAATACTGTATGTGTCACTGTTGACCTGGGTTCCAGTTTTCTAAAGGTAGAAGTAGGCAAGGGGGTGGGAAATCAGGAAGGAGTTGATTCTAGGTGTTATGAGGCAACAAGGTAGAGCAACTCAAGCATGTGAAGGCCATAATGAAAGTTCAGTTCTCAGGCACGAAAAAAACCCAGCAATATAGCAGCATTTTGCTCTGAACATTTTCTACCAGGACCATAAGCCAGGAGAGTATTTTTATACTATAGTTATTATTCTTTTTTT